ATTATTATTATTATTAAAATAACATTCAACAATAATTAAATAACAGAATTAAAAAATTGACTACATGTAAAATACAGTAGAGAAAGTATTTGCTATTTGTTTGACAAACTTCAAACGATATTTATTAAAATACTAACTCATTCAGAGTAAAGCTTTTATTCTGAAAGGGGTAAACTGGAAGTGTTGGACAGAGCTCTGGTTTGGATTGGCAGATTTGCCACAGATGATCCCGCCCACCTTCAGATTAAACCAATAGAATCAAACTGGTTTGTGTTGGTCCCACAGTCATCTTAATGGTTAGCATTTGAGGAGCCAAGAGTCTTGTTTAGTAAACATAACTTTTTCTTTAGCTGTGCCCACCACTGGGCCTCTCTGTGTCAGCCGAAGAATGTTAGCATTGCTAAGCTAACMGGATGATCAGATCCTGCTGAATGTGTTTGTGACGCTAAGCTTCCCTCGTCTCGTYGCAGAATTACTATAGATGAAAAAACCTGTTCAATTACTTAAATTTTAAGTTTTTGGTAAAACAAATTAATTAAAAAAAACATATTTCTGTCCTAATTAGACAGTAACTCAGCTTGAGAGAATTTGTCCAAATTGTGATTAGTCTATTGCAGGTAAGATACTGACTGCTCAGAACACATTTAAAACAAAAATCTCTTTGAACTCCTGCAGAATCAGCAGAAAAGATGTCGTACTTCTCATGATGGAGTTTGTGAGTCTGATTTAAATGTTTTTATTTCTGAACAGCAGCAGGTGTGTGAAGGTTTGACCAGGTGGCTCTGCCATCAGGATCAGGTGGTGACAAAATGTTTCATCTTTGCTCCACATAAACCTTCRTTTAATCAACATCCACAGTTATCCTGCATGATTTGTTGTTTTTCATGTTTAGGAATTTTGTTTCCAAAGTTGTCTCGTTTCTCCTGACAGGTAATCGTCATKTTTATGGATTCGTTTATGAAGTTTGTCTGCTTTGATCCTGGATAAACTCACTGATGTYATCAACAGGTAAGATGCTTTAACCGTTTAATCAGAGGTTTTATCACAGAAATGAGTTCCTCCGATGGTCAAACACTGGATTGTTTGAAGTGAATAATTTTCAGAGCTCGATGCTGTTTATTTATTTTATTWAATTCATGTTGGCTCATTTGGGTGTTTTTCCAGAAGGAGGCAGCATTGTGTGCTCAGTCTGAACAGTTCACCTGGAACGACTGCTTCCTGTGTTTACCTGTTCAGTTTCACTGAACTTCCCGCTCCGTCCGTGGCAGTTATCTCTGCTGTTTGAGGCGTTGTCTCGAMGAAGAGAAAAGGTTTAGAGTCTCTGGGGGAAATTATGAGTTAACTCTTTTAATTAAACTTCAAAAAATATTTGTTTTATTGATCGCCAGCAGGTGATACTCACCTGTTAGCACAAAAGGAAAAAATACAGTAATAAATCAAACATTTCATTGTGCTCATGTACGATGACAGTAAAGGTCTCTCTCTAAAAGAAATGCTACAAAACAATACATTTTCGTTGTTTGATTTAAACAGTTTATAACAATAAATGTTATAAATCCTTTAAAATTATTATTATTATAAGTGTTTTCTTTATTCACTGCATTTTGTCTTGTTTTCTTTTGTGTTAACAGGTGAGTATCACCGGCTGGGAATCAATAAAGTATAATTTAATCTTATTTATAAACGTTTTTGTTAAATACTTAAATCTGGACAAAGTAAAAGCTGATCTCTAGCAGTTTAAGTTCATAAAACGTTTCTTGTTCAAGAAAACAAATCTAATATCAACACATCAGCCTCGTTTAACACCTTTTTGTAATTTAAAACCATTCTCTCCCAATGCAGATTATTAATCCCACATTCAGTCTTTTAAACTACATATAATTTTGAAGTTACAGCCATAAGTCAGTGTTTTCTGTGGTGTGTAAATTCAGTTTTTGAACAAAGTGAAGTATCACAATTAGGCTTTTAATTTGAAAAATGCTATTAATGGGATATAATTGTACATTATTGATCCCCAGCAGGTAATATTTACTTGCTAACACAAAAGGAGAAATAACACAGTGAATGAAGCTAAAATAAATATTAAACTATATTATGAAAATCTACATAGGTTTATTGTTATACATTTAAAATTCTAGCCCTGATAATATTAATTTTTGCTTTCATTTACTTTACTATAT